TACCGTAATTGACAATAAACTCTTGATAAACTTGTATGCAAGAAAGCTCATCAACGTATGCACGTTTATCATAAATTAAGGAATTTTAACATGGGCAATACTTTTATGAAAATATTTTAAAGCTATTTTATTGAATCTGTTCTTACTTTTTATTTTATTTTCTGGTATGGGTTATTGACACAGAAAAACAAAAAACGCATACACCACATTGTCGTTCTTTGCAACAAAATTGCCACTGTCCCACTATATAATATTTCTACTCTCCACAGAAATATATCTCTTAAGAAAGCTCAGGTAATTTTAGCTGAGCCTGAGTTTTCTCTTTTACCATCAGGACACAGATTTGCTTTAAAAAGATGCAGAACCAACAGATTTAAGAATTCCTTTTTACCTACTGTTATTGTCCTTTTAAATACGTCTTGTTAAATGTTGTGTGTGTTTGTAGTAGATATGACTATACCATTGTGGTTTTTGTGGTATTTACTGTATTTATTGTTGATGAATGTTTTTTTTCTCCCCTACTGGCTGTAATACAAATTGCCTCATGGGGATATTCAAGATAACTTCAATTACTTCATCCACATTTCCTTCTGCACAACTGCACTTTGGTCTGTTGTTAGGCATTAAATTGAAAATGAGTGAATATTTGCAAAAAACCATAAAGTTAATCTGTTTGAACATTAAATATCTTGTCTTTGTAGTGTATTCAACTGAATCTTGGTTGCAAATAAKTTGTAAATCATCGTATTCTGTTTTTATTRATGTTTTACACAGTGTCCTAAYTTCATTGGAGTTGGGTTTGTACTTTAACACATTTGGTTGTTGTTGCAGCACATAATGACATCAAAGCACACGCATGCCAAAAGAATTGAAGGACTGGACAAGAATGTGTGGTAAGTGAATATAAGTTTTTTATACTTGAAGCCTTTACACCACTGTYAGTTTCCTTTTACATGGTTAGTTACATGCAAATTAACAATTAGTTACAATCACAAATGGCAGCAGCAGCCAAATGTTGCACTTCCTACAGGATGGGGTCTTGTACTAATAAATGTACCTTGTACTGATAAAATTAAATGTGTCAGGTTATAAGAGAATGTTTTGCACTTTTAAAATAAAACCTGTGTTTGCAGCTATTTTTACATTCAGTCTCAATAACAGACTAGAGTTTTGAAAAGTTGTAGCACRTGCAATTGATCATCAATAAAATTGTCAACAATTAATATTTAGCAATTTTGCAAYTACTGTAATTAGTGCCACGTGAGGATGATGTATTCTTGTGTGTGACACTATTAATATCAGCCGTGCATGTCAGAGCAACCAATGCTAATCCCCAATGCTAACTCTACGAACTTTAATCACCTGAAACACTGACATAARCTGGAAAATGAGGAAAGCCAGAAAATGCAGACCAAGGCAACGTCAACTACATGCAAGTGTAATCATCATYTATTAATGATCATATTTATTGTTATTGGTTAAATAATCGTGATAAAAAATTGCCATTAAGGCCCAACCCTTTAAGCTGATAAAATTATTGGTTTGCTTTGTTGGATTATAATGAATTGAATCTCAAGTGTCGTGTTGCTTTTRTTTCCTGTGTAAATTTATTAAATCAAATTGTTGGCAGACTTGAGATCAGCCACAGGCTGGAGACGCACAACTCCAGTCTGAATACTTGAGGGGGAATCACAATGATATTTGCTAATTGGACCAGTTCATATAACAAGAATTCAAGTTTCTAAACACACTTTGTGTAACAAATCTTATTGTAACTC